CAGTGGAGGGTGATGATGGAAGATGATTAATCCTACCGCTCAGTCGAGCTGAGAAAAGGGGAGTGAGGCTAACAGGAACCCCCTTCAAGGCTGTCGATGATCTAACTAGATAGCATGTGTTCTGTGGATTACTGACCACACTGCTTACGGCGACTTGACCAAAATGAAGGAAAACCAAATGCAAAGCAAAAAGCGGGGGGGGGGGGAAAGCCCGAGGGAGCCTAGGTCTGCCCACCACACCCTTGCAGTGCTGGCTTCGGGCAGTTATTCTGGGTTGAAATCCAAGGGCTCCAGCACTTTCCTGTGGCAATCACCTCCTTCGGTCCACTAGGTTCCTGCCCAAGGTAGTCTCTCGGCCACGTTCACGTTGGCCTTGACCTGGGGAAACGGCCCTTCCTGGCAGGTGGTCAAGATAAGAGAGCTAATCTTCGGGGAGTTAGGGAAAGAGGTCTGCTGAGAATTGAGGCTGCCCAAACTCATCTGCCTGCAGCAACAATCAGTATAAGCAGATTTACTGTGCTTTCTCTGTGAGCGTTACCAACTGTTCTACCGCAGGAACTTATCCCACAAGGGCACTCTGTGCTGAAGCACCCTCCATGGTTTCACACGTTGACTCGGGCTGTCATCCTTTTCCATCGTGTGCCGCTCGTCTGCCGAGACTTACACTGTAATCGGATCTTACAGTGATCTGATTTTAGTGTACGTGCTGCCGAAGCGAGCACTGATCTTACGGGGCTCCATCTCGCTTTGGAAACGCCTGCTGGGTTCGGAGTCCATGGCTAGTCCAACACGTAACTCCGTGTTTCGTGAAACAAGGGCTGTTTCTACGCAAAAACGAAATCGCTTTTTATTGCTCAGCTGGGCTTTTTAAATAACAATGAGGAAAACAACGGTGATGAAAACAATGCCCAAGATAAATGGTATCTTCAGAATTTTACCTTTTCATTCTGGCAGAGTGCAGAACTTTACAGCCGTAACAAAGCTGTGTATTCATTCCCAGTTCTACAACTATCAATCATCATAGCTTGAAATTAAATTCATGCAGAATCACACATCACAAACAAATGAAGTACAATTATCCACAATCCAACCAGGTGCGTCCATTTAAATTGCATCTAAAATTGACTTATCTTTCATCGATTAAAAATGTTTTACAAATGCAGTAGAGAAAGCATTCTGGATTTGCAAAACTAACTGAGGAACAGCACTCAGAAGTAATTAGCAGGAAGGATTATAAATTCTTTAAATCCCAGGGACAAAATGTGCAACAATTTAGAAACAAGTTTACTTTTGTCAGCCAAATACGACATTGTAGACAACAGCTGCATCTGATCCAGAAATTTCCTGTTATTTGGACTCCAATCAACAGAAGAATGCAGCATTACTCTCTTATAACTGGCTGGATCATGAACTGTTAGCAATTCCAACTGGTTCATTTGGATTTTTTTTTTTTAATTATGTTCTTAACCATTTATAATTAATATAAATATCTAATTATAATAATTGAACTACTTGGAAAGTTAAAGTACATACCAGGAAGGACCATGCCTAGAGAAATACAAACACAATTAAGAAACATGTTTTCAGCTCTCCACCAAGATAATCTTAAAGCAACAATGTCAAAGGACAAATTCCTAATACACAACGTCACACATACAACAGATAAACGTACTGAGACTTTTGCTTCTGCTCTAAAGAGTATATGACCGCAAAAAGCTGGTGACAGCAGAATTTGTACTGAAATGTTGTTCAGTGCATAATCCACTTAGATGATTATCTGTTTTAAAATAATTACAGCATATGCCAGAGGTACCTCCTACTTCAGCAAAAAGTTGTCTCTTACAAATATGTGATGTTGTATAACTACTACCAAATGGCTCCAAACCAGGTATTGGTAGGCGTAGTAGCAAACTGTTCTAGAATGTCCTGGAATCCCAGATATTTAAAGCACACACAAGTATGCCTAGTAGAACAAGTACAAAAACTAGAACCAAGAGAACTTGGATTTGAATCCGGGCTTCGCGTTATTTAATCTTTCCAATACTTATTTCCTCATAGGAGCAAAATATCTTCACAGTGGTGTTATCTGGATTGAATGTGATATCCTGTGTTAAACACCAGGGTCGGAACACATTAGGTGCTAAATAAATGCTGGGGGGATACATGGAAAGCCCTCAAGCCCTGTCTTGGCAAGTCAGGGCTACATAAGACGTCATCAAACGGTCAAGACTCACAAGGCCGCCATGTTGTGACCCTCCTCGAATGCCACCAGTCAAAAGAACTTGACAAGCTTGAGGTGCCATTTTAAAAAATTCAGATGAGACATTTATGCCCTGAGGATCTGTAACAACCTCAAAACTCTGTATCTAGTGAAAAATAAAGTGGTATAATCAATGGACATGAAAGTAGATCCTTGAGTAATATAAGGAGTAACTCATGTTATGCAATCATCACAAACACTTAAAAAAATTTTTTTTTTTTTTTTTTTTTTTTTTTTTTTTTTTTTTTTTTTTGCTTTTGGACTGAGTAGGCTGAGGTTCCTGTTTGTTTTGTTTTGCTTTTTAATTTAAGGAGAAATGTGAACCTTCGAGAAAATTAAAATGAACAAAATAGGGGCACCTGGATGGCTGAGTCAGTTGAACGTTCGACTTCGGCTCAGGTCATGATCTCATGGTTCATGAGTTCAAGCCCCATGTCGGGCTCTGTGCTATCAGCACAAAGCCTGGAGCCTAATTCAGATTCTGTGTTTCCCTCTCTCTGCCCCTCCCCTGCTCACACTCTGTCTCTCTCTCAAAAATAAAATAAACATTAAAAAAATTTTTTAAAAATACTTTTGGGAGACATGGTCCAAATAAAAAGAAAATACTGCCTGCAGATTGTAAGTGATCAAGAAATGTACAGTTGTTTGATGGCCGAAGTTGGACTATGTGTCTGTGGCCACAGAAATTTCAAATGGTCAGTGGTGGTCACTCAGACTTTCGTGGATTAAAACGATGTCCCTATGAATAATATCGTGTATTGACCTTCTGATATACACATCCATCACTGTTTGGAATTTAACTGTGTCTACACAGTCCAAAAGCCGTCAGAGGCCAACCCCTCCCATGAGACTGTCACGAATGTGGCACAGAACAGGGTTGCAAGCCGTTTCCTCCCGACCCCCTCCGGGCTGCCGTCCAACGGGGAGGGAGGCCAAGCCCACCCATTCTGTTGCATAGACTGCCTCAGATTTCACTGAAATTAACACATTATTTGGCTTAAAGAAGAACAGGCTTGGCAACCACTGATATGGGGTGGGGTGGGGGGGGGGGGGGGGGGGGGGGAAGAACCCACTGTTCTAGGGTTCGGAAACTGGGCTGTATATCTGTCCTCGCAAGCTCGCATCTGTCTTCACTACCACTCTACCTCCAGCAGCTAGAACAAACTTAAACTTGGCACAGGAGGATACTCCGTAAATATTTACTGGCTAACCGATGAACTCCTTATCTGTGCTGCTTCCAAACTGATGTAACTATGGCCACAGAGTCTCTTCAAGATTTCAGGGTCTTTTCATTGTATGCAGTGGGGATCTGTTCATATATGGAACATTTAC